GACAGCCAGTCTAACAGTATTCTATTAAGATATTATCTGCATTTTGTACTTATGGCAAAGCTGCCGTCCCTACATTTGAACTAATAACCAGAAGGAAAGCAGCCAGTCAACAGTATTCCATGACTCGCTATCTTACGCTAAGAGATTGATTGTCATTCTTATAACGCACCCACAGCTTAAAGTAGGTGGGGATATTTTTGGTATCGCAAGGATTTGAACCAGGATTACCAGTTCGTAAATCTGGAACGATACCACAAAACGTGCCCTAATATTCTTAGTTATAAAGAGAATAGAAAACAGAGAAATAGTCTTCCCTAGGATACTGCATTCATAAAAACGTTAAAAATGGTTTTAAAACGCTCACAGACTCAGTGGTTAAATTGGGATTTTGAAAGAGGCGGAACTCCCTTTTGTGATCCTCTTTGATCCAATCAGGAACGTTAATATGATGAACCCTCTTCAAGAGGCAGTCACCGTTCCGGACTATTCTGTCCCAATTTAACCCCTTCTCACAGAAGAAGGATTAAAGTATTCTTAACATTAAATTGAGATTTTGATAGAAATAACATAACCTGAAATATTTCAATTTTATTCACCAAAAACATGACTAAATAGTGTCGATGTGTATGTGCGTATATGTATATAAATATTAACATCCCTTTATAAACTTTCTGATTTTTATTTTATGTCAATACAACTAAATTAATTTGTAGTTCATTTGCTAGAAATGTGTATTTTTGCACGATAGATGGCGCTAAACATTAAACAAATAAATGCTAATTGCAAGCTTGTAGCAACACAGAAAATCAAGATATTCCAAATACAGATATTGAATTTCATTTTAAAATAACCTTTTGGTTTTGGTAATAATTAAGACTGAATTTAAAGAGACTGATTTATGATAAAAAATGGTACTCTCATATTAATTTATCTGTCCCCCTTACCTACCGTTAGCTTACTGATGGTACTCTCATATTAATTTATCTGTCCCCCTTACCTACCGTTAGCTCACTGATGGTACTCTCATATTAATTTATCTGTCCCCCTTACCTACCGTTAGCTCACTGATGGTACTCTCATATTAATTTATCTGTCCCCCTTACCTACCGTTAGCTCACTGACGTACTTGAAAGCACAGAATAGATAGCCAATTGTGTAGTTTTGTACTTAACATCAAAGAAACAATACGTTAAACAACTTCACTGGATCTTTTAAGTTGATTAATAATAGTCCTTTTATTATGTAACAACCAAATTAATTACACTTACATTTTTGAGTTGTCGAGATTTCGAACAAGGCGAACTTATTTGGTCTTTCCTGAGAATTGTAACAGCGTAAAAGAAGTTGTATGAACTCTTCTGTTGTAGTTCGATCAGACACCAATAGGCTTTTGTACAATGACTAAAAATAGAATCACATAAACAAAAATAGTATGAATTCTTCTGTTGTAGTTCGATCAGACACCAAAAGGTTTTTGTACAATGACTAAAAATAGAATCACATAAACAAAAAATAGTATGAATTCTTCTGGTGTAGTTCGATCAGACACCAAAAGGTTTTTGTACAATGACTAAAAGATCACATAAACAAAGAATAATATGAACTCTTCTGGTGTAGTTCGACCAGACACCAAAAGGTTTTTGTACAATGACTAAAAATGGAATCACATAAACAAAGAATAGTATGAACTCTTCTGGTGTAGTTCGATCAGACACCAAAAGGCTTTTGTACAATGACTAAAAAAATCACATAAACAAAAAGTAGTTTAAAAAACAACAAATGTTCATATAGCGGTCTACGTTTCTCTTATAAAACACAAAGGAGAACGTTTCGGAAATATCTATAAAGAGAATACAAATTACTGCTGTCATTACAAAACTTATAAAGAAGTTCTCGGAGTTTGTTCCCTTCTACAGAAATAGTTTTATATCAATAAATACGGTTTAAAAAAAACTGACAAAAAAAAGGGCGAAATTTGACAACGAATTTGCGCTCTATTCAAAATTGCCTCCCCCCCCCCAGTGG